AGTCACCCACTGCACACTGCTAATGTGATCTGTGGGAGGAGATGAGTGTTAAATACCTCTGGTTGGGGAGCCAGTGGATGCTGACAGAGCCTGGAGGGCTTTTAGAAATTTCTGCTGCCTCCCGCAATGAATCTGAAGTCATAAAGAGAGCTTGGTGTTGTGAGTCTTGCTGTGTCCAGCTGTGCATGACCTGAACCCAACCCAGGCAGCATGAGGAAACCCCTGGGATGATGGAGCTTTATACAGCCTTCTCTGAAAGCAGCTTGCTTGAGATATGAACGTGGATCACAGCCCTCCTAATCCAAGCTGGGCAGCAGGCAGCTATAAACAAGTCAGTTATGGACTCATTCTCCTTGATCTGAGAGGTGCTGCCTGGTACTGTACAGCAGCTCTGTGTAAGGCATGGGACCAGGTGGATGGAGAATTAGCTCAAAACCACACTGTAGGATAATACCTTGAAATAGCTCTCGACTGGTTTAACAGCACGGTCTGATTCGTCTGTTCAGCCAGTGCAGCACCAAGACAGTGGAAGAAAAAGAAGTCATGCTGAAAAATTAGTGCAACCGGCCTCACACACGAGAGAACACGAACAGATTGTTTCTGAAAAGCAAACAAAATCCCTTTCCAGTTTGCAGAGAGCATGCAGCTGTGTGCACCAGGACAGGGATTTTGGGAAACCTGCTCTGTGCAACCCAGAAATCCCCTTCTCCAGTGCCCACCAGTGGATGACACAGATGATATACTTGCCTGATTTGCACAGCAGATCCTCTCCCCATGAACAGCCTGGCACCGTTTCCTTTCACAGCTGGAGGAAGGCAGTAGTTCTTGCTTTTCTTCATGCTGTTGTTCTGTTTCTGGATTCCACTGGACAGGCCCAGGTCAGATGCTCAAATCTGGGGCCAGCTCAAGCTCCTGCTTTGGTCTGCTCAATCTTTTTTTGTGATTTCTCTGGCCTGATCCTGATTAGATACCAAGGGGAATGTGAGCCTTTGGAGTGCTCAAGAGCAGGGGGGAGCCCAAGGGCGTTGGTGCACATGTGTCCAGGTACAGAGTGACTGTTGTTTAACACCAGAGTAACTCAGTGTCCTGAGCTCACTCCAGCCTTTCCAGGTGTGGGGTTACTCTTACAGGGAGCCCACACCTTGGAAGAGGGATGTTGCTTCACTAAGCAGCAAGCCATAATCACAGTGCTGATTTCTCACCTCAGCAAGGAGCAGGGGGGCAGTGGTAGAGAGTTAGACCAGCACTGGATGCTTCTGACCCCCTGCACACACAGGCACCCACGTGCACACCAGATGCTCGTCCTTCCTGCAATCCCTCTCTGCCCCCAGCAGCTGGGATGGGCTCTGGTGCAAGGTGAAGGCAGTGGGCAGCAGGCAGGTATGAGTCATCTCACCTGCTGAAACTTCTTCCCAGCCTCGAGTCACGCAAGCCCTGAGACGAGGAGGGTCTGGGTCCCCACATCAATTCTGGGTGTTGTAAAGTCAGCCTGAAAAATCTGGCAGGTGGAGCTCACGCTGACACCTCGTTTTTAGCTCCTCTGAACCGTCCTGGTCTTCTTGGCAGCAAGGCTCTGTGTTCTTTTTAATGGGGCTTTCACAACCCCTGTTCCAGGACTGAAAACAGCTGCCAGAGCACGCAGCACCCCAGGGAAGACCCTTGCCTTTTTCCAGAGCACATGAACGGAGCAGGGCTCTGCGGCTGCTCCGTGTGCTTGATGTGAAGCTGTGATGTTTGCGAGGGACTGGAGCATGAACTGCCCCGCTAATGCAGGTGTGAGTAACAAAGGAGAAGGAGGGAAAGGCTGATAATCAAAGAAAAATGGAACAGCAAAAAAGATAAACCCTCCTGCTCATGTAGTGTGAGAAAGCATTAATGGTTAACCCACTCACTGTAGAGTAGAAGGAAAAAACTGCAATTGCAAAGGGAAAGAGAAGTTTACCTTTCAAAGTGTATTTTTCATTCACTTTGCCAGATTATTGCTGTTTTATTTGCTCTTCACTCTTTGAGGGATAAAGAGAAAGTGTGCAAATGACCCTCGATTACAGGCACAACCCTCTCCCTGCACACACACACAAAAAGAGGATGCTAAACACAGCCCTTGAAATTCAGGAGGATAATTGATGCTCTGACGCGTGGAAGCCCACAGGACTCCTGAGGGAGCACAGGTATAAAAAGCAGAGATGCACCTCTCTGGCAGCCAGAGGACAGCTGGGGGGAGATCTGAGAGTGCCCTCCCTGCTCAGCACAGTGTGGGGGGCACAGAGCCAGCAGCTCACAGAGGCAGCTCCAGAGGAGAAGTTGTGTTTGCAACAGGGGAAGGAACACCTGGGCAGGAGCTGAGCTAGGAAGTGCCTGTCGTCTACAGGAACGGTAAGTGGGAGTCTCTCTCTCTGTGTTTAACAAGATAATGCCTATTCAGAAGTTGGAGATAATTAAATGGTACTGAAATGCAATCAAAGCTGGCACCAGGAATTAGCTTTGCCATGCACAACAGCCTTTGTACCATACCAAGTTTTGTACCAAGATATTTTTGTACCAAGTCATAGAAAGAAACAGTAAATGAACTGCAGGATAAATGCAAATCAACAGAATTATACTATAGATGAGCTTTGTAAAAACATGTTAGACATTTACCAGCTGTAGCACAGTTTTTCTCTTTTGCTATACGGATGTGAGTCCCTTTTACCCTGGCAAATGAACGGTGTTTTACTCACCCAGCAATGAAACTGTGTTTGAGCCACAGCCCAGTGTGAGGAGAAACACCACGGTGTGTTACAGGTAACGTGAAGCCAAACAACGAGGCAGAGGGAGGTACTGGAAAGGATTTCTGCTTTTCTTCTGCAGCATTTCAGAGTATAAAAGACTCAGCTTTCTAAAACAGCAGGCATGGCAAAAGCTTCATTTCATCTACATAGGGGTATTTTTAAGATAGCTCAGGCTAAGGCTTCAGGAGTGGTAAGAGATCCCCATCTCTCCAACACCGCTGTCACAAACTGCTGTTCCCGCTGCACAGGATGGAATGAAGCTATTATGCTTCATCTGCTGGAATGGTGCTAAGAGCTCTTCATCTTAAGGGGAATTCATTTATTAATCATTTTTTCACATGCTGCCAGAATGGAAAGTGAGCTGTCCCTCACCTCAAGAGAATTTGGCAGGTGACAATGTTTTGCAGAGCTGTCAAGCTGCCTCCATGCAGGGTGACACTTCAATTCCCCAGCTTCTCCTCTGAAACAGCAGACACTTCTGGGAAGGGGTGTAGGACTTCCATTTCAGATTTATTCCCGAGTGAAAAAGGGAGACAGACAGACCCAAAAAGCTGAATGAGAAGCAGGCTGTAGCTAAGGGAGAGAAGGCAAAGCAAGACAGGGGAAGAAGGACAAAGTCAGAAACAAACAAACAAAATTGCTAAGAAACTATTAATAGAGAAAGAAAAAAAAATACCTCAAAGGTTCAAAAAGTGATTCTGGAGAAAACCCCAACATTCAAAGAAGGGAAACCAGAGACAGAAAGAAAGTGCTAATCAGGGCTGTATGTTAGGAAGAGCATTTGGGCGAGGTTTGCATTTACACTGGCACTTAACTTCTCAGCTCAAATAGTAGCTTCCCTGGTACTGATTAAATCTCCTGGTTGGCACTTTCTATAGATGCTGGTGCCACAGCCTCCTGGTACCCCCTGACAGATGCTTTAGATCATTTCCTCTATCTGGAAAGATCTGACTTGGGATTTGCCTTGAAGATACTCAGGGAGAGGCACAGAAAAGGCATGCTTTTTCAAGTTCAAATGAAAAAGGAAAAAAAAAAAAGGAAGCAGTAAATTTGCTCTAAAGGCAGAAGCCCTGTGAGTCTCTCAAAATCCCTTTTTTTCCTTCTTTTAAGCATTCCTTGGCTCTCTGAGGGGCCCAAGTGATTCTGTAATAGACCAGGAGTAGGAGATGCCACCACGAGCACAGGAAGCTCTGCAGGAGTCAGGAGCTACTGTGCTGCTCCCAGGGGAACTGATGGGGAAGCCGTGGGTCCCTCCCTGGGAGCACGAGCGGCTGGAAACAGACTGGGCTGAGAATGAGTTTGTGATAAGAAACCTCATTTCTCAGTGCAACACCTTCTCCCATGTCTGTGCATGGACATCTGACACTGCCACTATTTCCATTATTAACTTCCACAGTGTCGAGATTGGACCCACTTGCAAGTCCTTAATGAGTCTCCCCCGGCCTCTGTTGATCTGCTCTGTCTGAGCAGTAAAGCAGAGCTCACTGCTGATGTTCTCCAGCAGAAAGGGCCCCCCCCATCAGTAAAACCCACTGCTCTGAAAGTTCACTTGGGCCAGTCAGAAGCCCAGCCAAACCCTTTCCATTTGGAAGCTGCTCCTTTTGCAAGGAAGTATTGTTATACCTTTGGAAGGGTTGTTTTTCCCCCCCTTACGGAGATCAAACACCTTTCTGCTCTTTTCTCCTGTAAAGTAAGACAGAGAACAGGGAAACTTGGTATTTTAAAGGTTTCTATCCCCATTCTTAAAGAATCTTTTTTTTTGAGCAAAAGATCAACCGCTTTCTATCAAAACTCAGGAAGAACATTCACTGCAATGCCTTCCTGCTGTCCCTCGCTTCCAAGGACAAAAGCAGGGCACTCAGCCCCGCGGGTGTGTGACCTCGGGCCACTCTGTCCCGAGTCATTCACAGCCCTTCAGCCAACCCCAGGACAGAAGCACCGCAGCCAGGGCTGCACACACAGCTCAGCCCATCCCACCTCCCACCACAGCCGGTGCTCAGAGCCGTGAGTAGGCATCTCGAGGGTGGCAGTCCAGTCCCCCCCAGGGACACACTGCGGTCCAGACCCCTCTCTCATGCACTGGGAAACACCCTGACTGCAAACAGGCAAATTTCCAGGCCCTTTGTGCCAAAAAGTGAGTAGGGGGGCTGAGAACATAAAGGTGGTACTTGGCCTCCCCTCCTGGCCTGGAGCACCTCCCTGCCCTCAGACCGCTCTGTGTTTTAGGTGACTCCAAGGGGTGGAAGATGCTGGATAAGGCCACCCTGCTCCTGTTCCTGCATTTAGTTGCATGCTCCATCTCCTCTCCTCTCTACCCAGCTCTCAGGTAAGTGCTGGGTGCTTTATCCACACTACCTCATCTCTGACCTTGTGCAAAATAAGCACGTGCCAAAATAAGGTTGCCAGCACTTCTGAAAGCCAGACGAACTCTAAACTTGTTGCTAAGCCTATTTCTTTGCCCTCTCCCAATTTTTTTGGGTACACTGCTCGCCTAGGGGTGGTTTCCAACGGGACAGGAATATTTTAGTCTGAACAGTTGGTTTTAGGATTGGATGCTGGGATTCATAAAGGGAAATCTGGCAATCTCCAGAGCAGGCAGCACCACCAGCTCCACCACTGATTAAAATTTGTGGCTGCAGGGCACCTGCATTGAAGTCAGAACTGTTCCAGTACACGACCTCAACAGCTGCCTATTAATATTTCAAATATTTCCTTGTCACCTCCTGGAAGTTGTAATATTTCTTCCTACCCCTACAAATCCACAGAAGCACAAAATCAGGCATTGGCTTCTCTAAGGTGGATTTGACTTGTCCCATAGAAAATGCTTTGGCCCTGTGCCAAGGCCATGGCTCAGTGACACCACAATCACTGGAATTTTGCTCAAGGATGCTGGGAAGTGTGTTAGAGGCAGCTCTATCCATCATCTTTTCACTGCTGAAAGAGCTTCAGGGCAGCTTCCACCTGGAGAGAGTGATGGACAATACTTGTGTTAGTGATAAGATAGGACGGCAAAAGGAGAAAGAAAAAAGCAGAACAGGGAATAATGGTCAAGAAGACTGAACCCCAACTGGCAACTGAGCACACCTCACAGCATGCCTGGGGTTTGTCTTGCAGGTACAGTCCAGGGCCAGTTGCTGGCAAGGCCCTGAGCTTCCAGCTACAGCACAGCAGCTCCCTGCAGAGCCAGAACCCCTCGGCAGAGGAACAGGAGGAGGAGGGTTGGTTAGCAGACCCCACTGAGAAAAGGTTTGTACCTCACCTGTCAGCCTTGCTGTTGTGGAGTGCGCTGGGTACAACCTCCCCCAGCACCACAAAGTGCACAGAGGACTCGTCCTTACAACAGCAGGACCAGTCAAGTGGCTCATGCTTCCCTTATCTGTGGATCTTCTGGAGTCTGGGTCTAACCACAGGCTAGAGACCTGCTGGAGGATCCTGTCATCCTGTCCCAGACACAGTTCTCCCAGGAGATGACAGTGCTGCTGCAGAGCATGGGAACGTCCCAGACCAGCTCTGCCCTCTCCCAGCCTGTGGTTCTCCTCCTCTCCACTGGTTCTCTGACCTCACCCTTGGTTTGCAGGCACTCTTCCTCACTTGTTTTAGTGTGGGCTCTGATTAACAGACATTTTATTTTGCCTGCTGCCTCCGTGTCAGGACTGAGCTCCCTCAAATCCTGTTACCCCACAACACCAGCACAGTCCAACACCAAAAGGTGTTAGCTGTGGTTACCTGCCCCTGCTATCAGCACTGTTACACCCAGTGTGTTATTTCTCACCTGGAGTGGTCACTGCTGGCTCAGAGAGCGCACTGTGGCTGCCTTTCCCCGCAGGATGCAGCGCCACGCTGATGCCATCTTCACCGACAACTACCGCAAATTCCTGGGGCAGATTTCCGCCCGCAAGTTCCTGCAGACCATCATTGGCAAGCGGCTCGGGTAAGCCCAGCATCCTGCTGTCCCAGGGCTGCTGTTTTCTTTGTTACAAGGGGCAGTTTCTTTCATGCATTAGCAGCAATAGCTGCCTTGCCCTGCAAGAGAAACCATCTCTCCTGCTATTCCATATCCGGAAGGGCATCCTGCATCCCTACGTCTTGGATCCCCCTAATCACAGCTATCATTAAGCAGCCTAATTAATCCTTTCCTCCAAGGCTGTAAGCATCAGATCAGCTGAGAGTTCTACTGTAATATCAACAAGCTATAACATTTGCAAATAATAGTTGCTATGATCATTCACTGGTAGGAAAGAATTATCCCTGGACTGGTTTAAACACAGAAGGCAGCCTCTCCAGTACCTTAGGCTGGATAGATCACTGACTGCCACTGAGACCAACTGTTCAGATGTGAGCCAGCTCCAATCCATCCTCTTAACAGAGGAGCAAATTCAGTGACCAGTCCTTACTGCAGTGAAGCAGAACGGCCCCAGGGTCAGACCCAGCAGGTTCCCTTCCTGTGCTGCTCAGCCTGAGCCAAACCTGGAGCAAGGCACAAAAAAGCATCTCTGAAACAAAGGTGTTTCTCATCTCCACCCAACAGAAGCAGCAGGAGCAGCCCAGGAGAAGGGGTGCAGGAGTTCCTGACAAGGCGCCAGTCTGACAGCATCCTGATGGACAGCCGCTACCACCACCAGATGGTCCTCAGGGACTTCCTGGGAGCCATCCTGCAGAACCAGAGGTAGGTGGGAATCAGTTCATTATCAGCTCACTGCAGGAATATGACAAGGTCCTTATTGCTGTCTGGATTAAGTATCACTTCAGGTACAGTCAGGGAAAGAAGAAAGCTCTTACCTGAGCCCAAGCAGGGTGCAGATAAGGAACAGCCTGTGCTGAGCCAGCCCACACCACACACAGTGGTCTCCTCAACCTCATCATGCAGTAAAGCAGCAGTGGAAAAAGAATTTCTCTCTTGATCCCAATTACACCATCCCCGTCCTCTTCCTTGACAGGCCTCAGGACATCGACAGCAGTCGGTTAGAAGGCTTTCCCAGCACCCTGGCTAAGCTCATGTAAATACTTCTCCCTTTTCCATCTCCCCACGCTCTGGTGAGTAGCATTCCCTGCTCCATCCTGTGCACACACACTGCTGCACTGCTCAAGCTTTGCAGCCTCTCCTTCAGCGACACCAGCCCCCACTGCCATCCATGAAAAAAGGTGAATTTCAGGGGAAAAAACTCCCAATCCATTTTGCCAAGTACTTTCACAAGGGCTGTGAAGCTGCACATGGATGCCCAAGAACAGGTTTGCAGCAACCCAAAGCAGCCTTGTAAGCTTATCTGAGATGGTGTGCCTGGTCTAAGCCAGGCTAAAGGCAGATAAAAGTCTTCTCCCAGAAGCAAAACCTGCCTCTAGATACTTGGGACATTTCAGGTTTTCCCTGCACTGAAGTTTTACTGCTTTCTGTGCCACTCACTCCTGAAAGCAGTTCCTGGAACTTGAATTACACTCTAAATCTCACCAGCTCTGGAGGACTGAGAACCAGCAAACAGTCCATCCTTGGGAATACCTTTACTTGTACAGGCATCAGCTGTCCTGTGTGAAGCACTCTCATCTTCTCCCCTGTCCCATGGAAATTAAGCCTGTCCAGTGCTGCCAGCAAAATAAAAAGGGGTGTGGAGAGACCTGTGTGCACAATAAACAAAAGAGGGGCTAGGGATGGGAAGATCAGAACTCTACATAAATCATGCCTATGAATTCAGCTGGGAGAACACAGGCTCCCAGCATCTCTTGCCGTGTTTGACTTGGTTACTTTTCCACAAATAAGGTCAGTCAGGAAAAGCCTCCAAAGGATGAAAAAACTTCTGCACGTCCTCACAAAGTTTCCTCATAATTCTCTTTTCCTCCTCCTTCTATCTAGAATAATTCAGAGCTCGTGGACCTGATGTACAGTGAGCCCTTGACAGCAATGAAGACATTGCCAGATGTGAGCAGCTGGAAACTGATGCACACTCTCCTCAGCCGTGATCAAAGGAGTGCAGTGCTGATGCACTGCTTCATTCCCTTCAGTCTTGCCAACGTAACTCCCCTCTCTAAATACTGCTCTGTGCTGATCAGAAAAACCCCACCTCTGTGCTTTAACCTCAGGCTGCTTTACACACAGACTAAAACAACCCGTACACTTGTAATCCTGGGGACATTCTATCGACTAATTAAGGCTTTCAAATCACTAAGTGTAGCAAAATTTCCGCCAAGTCATCATTCTGTTTGAGGGCCTGATTAATAAACATGAGGCCACCAAAAGGCACCTTTAGGCGACTTAGTAAATTGATTACAGCCTCCTCCAAATAGATGCTGATGGCACAACCACACACAGAGCTCAGAGCAGAGCGAGGTGAGACATGAATCCACACGTCTCCCACCCATCAGAAACACTGCCGTGGGCTGCTGCTGCCTCATTCCCTGACACAGAGCCCTGGCAGCAAAACTGAGCTCTGAAAGCCTCAGCCACGGTTAATGCTCAGCCTCGAGGTGCTCAAACTGAAGCTACAGCTCTGCGAGAGTTCAAGGAGACCCCTGTGCATCAGACTGGGCTCTCACTGTGTTTTAACTCAACGTCCTGTTGAGTGCCATCCCATGGCTCTGAACTCCACTGTGACCAGTTACAACTGTAAATGTTTTCAAAGGATAAGTTATTAACCCAGTGATGTCTCCCCAGTTCCCCTATTGTTTGTGTAACAATTATGTCCTCAGAAATGTAAATACCATCAGGATGGGGTCTGCTTTCCCTCCACTGGCAGGAAATAAAAGTTGTTCTAAATAAACCTGTCCGACAGCAGGTCAAGATGGCTCTTTTGTTGAGAAGTTAGTTTCTTGATTTTGGGCCCAGAATGGAAGATGTTTCTCAGAGACAGTGGTCAAGTGCACTGAAGGTGACCCAGAGCTGGGCTAACAAAGGCAGGAGCTCCAGTACCACTAACACCACCAGGCTGGAATTACAGTGACATGCAAACATGCATTAAGGCCTCTGAAACCATTCCTCCTTGCACCCAAACAATTCCCTCATAGTCTGCAGTAAGTACCATCTCACTTTTCCTCAGGTGACCGTGTTTTAGGACAGTAGGTTCCAGTATGTTGAAGATTAGTTCATACTTGCACCAAATCCATACCCATTACATCCTTCCTGCTCAGGTTTTAAATTCTGTTCAGTGGCATAAAAGCCATTTGCAAATACTGGATTGGATACTCCCAATAAAATCAAAAGACCTGCCAAAAACATTTCAGAAAGTGATTGTGTGGTTAAACAGCCAGGTGAGTGCAGCAATTTTGAATAAAAGACACTGCTTTGAAAGTTAAGTTTGCATCAAAATGACAAAACAAATGCTCAAACGTTGAGATATTAAATATAAAACCAAATAAAACAAAACAGGTGAGAAATAAAAGGCCAAATTAATAAAAACTACCTTTCCTACTGCATACCCAAGGAAGTAGAAAATCAAAAGTAACATACACAAGCTTAGATCATCATCATTATATACATCACCAAGGCACTCCATGGTTTTCCTCCTGCATCTGTGCTCTCCTTGGATAACGTGCTGGAGCTCTACAGGCACAGGGAAAGTCCTGTCCTAGCATGAAGCATCAGAAGGAAGCTACAAAACAAAGCTGCTAAGTGAGCAGTAACAAAATATGAGGCTTAAAAAGCTCACCACAGTGAAAAGGAATTCCAGGATAAACTACTATGAATAGTAGCTTAGTTATTTCTTGCCTAAAACTCCTTTAGTCCCAGAGGACTTGAATGCAGCCCAAGATCCTGTCTTTGAAGGAGTGCAGAGGAGGTCAGAGAAATTCATTAAACCTCTGTGGGTCCAGTGTAATGCTCACACTGAACAAACAGGTAGGAACAGTGAGCTAAGTGTGAGTAACCGCAGTGGGGAAGAGACAAAGTGGATTTTATAAAGTGGAGTCGTGTCTCACACACGTGAAGTGCTTTGGAGGATTCAGCTCCACACCCTTTATCCACATGCTTTCTTGCTGATATAATTTTTCCTGGAAATTTGATCGAGTTCCTTTGCCAAAAGGCCTTTAAAGAAACTGCTCTGACACGGGATGAACAGGAGCAAACACAGGGATGCAGGGAAGGGAGTAACTGTTAAGTTTCCCATGTGGAAGTTGCTCACTGGGAGGAGATTTTGGCCTTTGGTTATTACTATCAGTGAGGTGCTTCAAATAAAGCCCCAACTCTGCTGCCTCAACATGCTTGGTGGTCCTGAAGGGAATAACTGGTCGGGAGGTTGGAGCTCCAGCAATTCCAGTGTGGCCACAGGGCAACCAGCACATTCCTGGCTCTTGGTTTCACAGAAGACCAGAGGCAACAACCTCCATCAAGCTCCCATTTGGAGTGAAACAGTTGTTTCCTGAGGCTGCAAAGAAAGTGAACCCTCCCAAGGGACCCCCAAACCTGCCGGGTCAGGCACAGGCACTCCAGCACCACAGCTGGCCCTCTCCAAAGGCTCCTCCTGCCTGACCCCAGGGGCCCAGAGCAGCTCAGCACAGCCTGGGGTGGGAGAGAACAGTCATTAGTGGAGAAAGGCAGCCCACAGCCCCACAGAAGGGACAGGCAGGGGCAGGAAGTCCCCCCCAATAAACATGTCCCTCGGGAAAGGACATGAAAGAGCAGGAAGCGCCACACACAGCAGTGACTCACACACAGAACTACCCACCAGAAAAAGCTCTTTTCATTCCCACGCGAGCCCAGCTTCCAATCACCGCCTCCAACACAGCCCAAACACAACATTCAGGGCCATCTTTCCTCTTTATTCACGGATCTTTAGGATGAGGAAAGGGTATCTGGGGAAAGGCAGAACCGTATTTTCTTTTTCCTCTTTCTCCAAAGGAAATTCAAATGTCCTGGGAGAAAAAAAAGGGGGAGGATCCAGGGAAAAAAGGATTTTCCAGATTCATATGAAAAGCACTCCAGTAGCATGAACACAATGATGAAAATCAAGATATTTAAAAAAGTTTAACTGGCACCCTTTTGACTCAATATATATATATATATAAAAAATCATCTTCTGCCTTCCTTCTTTTGGTCTTTCAGTTATTTATTCACTTCCGTTCTGAAGGCATTTGCTTTGTTTTTCCACATTTCTTCCGTTCTTCTGGTACTACTGTGTCCTGGAAAGAAAAACCCAAAAAATTAACTCTTCCAGGCAACAAAGCACCTCCTTGCACAGCAAAAGTGTCCCCAGAACCCTCATCTTCTCTCAAAGAAAGCTTGTCAGACAAGCTGCCCAAAAGCAGCTTACTGGAGTGACAAAACCAGTGCTGTAAGGGAAGGGGGATGGAAATCGGGGAAGATGGAAAGGGTCAGAAAAAATGAAGGTTAATTTCTGGTGCAAAAGGGGTGAACAAGCCTTTTAAATTGCAGAACTGAACAAAAAACCCCAGGCTGAATACAAAGCCTGGAGGTACCTCAACTTCTTTTCTACTTTTAACAGGGCCAATCCACCTGCTGGGAATTGCTGGTCCATGTACACACAAAGATCTTCATGTCCCCAGGAAGATGAAGTAGTCTAATTTAAAACAGCACATCCAACTTTTTGGGGGCTCTTTTGCCAGACACAGGCATAGCTACGGGTGCAGAGCTCTTGACAGTCCATCCCTAGGAGCTGCAAGGCCTCAGTGCAGGACCTGAAGGGGGCTTATTAAAGGAGGGAGAGGGAGGTTTTATAGGGGTAGATAGTGACAGGGCTAGGGGCAAGGGTTTTAAACTGAAAGAAGGAAGGTTGAGATTAGATCTTTACTCCGAGGGTGGGCAGGCCCTGGCACAGGTTGCCCAGAGAAGCTGTGGCTGCCCCATCCCTGGAAGTGTCCAAGGCCAGGTTGGATGGAGCTTGGAGCAACCTGGGCTGGTGGAAGGTGTCCCTGCCCATGGCAGGGGGTGGAACTGGATGAACTTTAAGGTCCCTTCCAACCCAAGCCATTTTGTGATTCTGTGGTCTTCCAGGATTACTCACAGCCCCTGGGGGGGCTGAGACACAGAAAACATGCAAGCTATGGAGAACACACTGGTGAGGCACTTGGTAACACACCACTAAAAAGCTGGAAAACATTGGCCCAAGATAGTGTTAAAATGAAGCATCCAGGGACCAGAACAGCACCATCAAACACAGCCAGGATGCAAACCCAGCATTTGTCTCGCAGGACAAGTGACAGCCATCTCCAGTTTCCTCTCCAGCAACTTGGTGTAGCTTCTTCTGTGCTCAAACACCTCAAAATGCTCCAGGGAGAGAAGAGACATTAACAGGGTGTTTTTCTGAGGGACATGATGCTGAATTCTTCACAGGTAAATTCCATGAAACCATCCTGCACACTCCCTGATCTGCACACAGGTGCTGTCCCCACAGTGCACAGCATTTGTGTGGCACAGATTCCCACACTGTTTTGCACCAAAAAACCTGAGCTCCATTCAATGCACTGTGTGTGTGCCTGGAGCACTGACCACGATGGGAGAGCAAGTGAATGCTCGGGAATGCACCAGTGCAGCACGTTGTGCAGTGATCTGTCCATCACAGGAGCCATCCGAGATGCTCTCCTTCTTCCCCACAGCAAACCAGTGCACTGAACAGGGAATGAACCCCATGCACACACAGTCAGAACTGGGCAGCGTGCAGAACACCGGCAGTCCTGCCTCCTACACCGCTGTGGACAGAGCAAACTGTGACCTTACGTCTTGGAATGACAGGAAATAAAGGGCTGGTAAATGATAATGGAGATCTATCACACAACTGTATGGAATGGAGGAGGCTGGGAGCTGCTGCTGCCTGAGCCACCATGGCCAGTTCAGTCTAATGTGAGGGTGAACCTGGGACTGGGTCGTGCTCTCAGCTGAACGAGGTGGTGCTGACCTGGCTTTGCTGCAGAGCTCTCACCACCCTAAACAAGGGTGTAATTCAGCAGGCAGAGTGCCTGGCAGCTGAATAATCAGAATACTGTGGATGGGGA